AATAAGAGCAGATCTTGGTTTAGTAAGTTTTTTTATTGAGAGCTCTTTAGGCAAAATTTGTTTTAATTTTTATAAGCATTTAATGAAATAAAAAAAAATCTAATTTATTGGGAGATTTCTCAAAGTGAGGGCTAAAAACGAATGGCTTGAATGACATAGCCATTGAGTTTAGTAGTAAGCTCTATGAAAATATATTAGATGAAATTTATATTAACAGACGTCAAGTAAAACGTTGCACTTCAAAATACTGCCAGCTGCCTTCTTTGAAGGCGCATTCGGCTTGCTGGGCAGGGTAAAACGTTCGCTGGAGGATTCGAATGATTTTGCAGGTATTTGTTACTTAGTATTTCATATTTTCATTGCGAATATACCAAGTTGCACCTGTGAGCTCTCGTACGTTTTTTATTGGAATCACTGTATTTTATGACTATTAATTTGCTCAGGCAGAACCCCATAATTGTATTCCATACAACCATATTGGTTTTATGACAGAATTATATGAAAGGATTTTGTGATCCAAGCATGGACCTGAATAGTTACACAGTAACCAATTAGGCTGGCAGTTTGAGGTGTGGTATGGCTCCTCCAGGTCAGTCGCCTATCCAACTGGATCCCCAGGTATTTAGCTCCAATTGCTTGAGAGATAATTACGTTGTTTAGTTTCAGTATTGGGCATGTTCCTCTGTCTTTAGAGTGAATCTGAAATGCTTACACTTTTGCTCGTTTGATAGCCAACTTCCAACGATTTCTGAAAAATTTTCTAGTGTGTTTTAGGCTTTTATTGGGCACTTTCTTCGCAGAAAATAGCGCCTTCATCTTTGAATGTTGAAGCTTAGGCTTTTGAGCACGTTGGTATGTCTGTAGTAAATAAGGCATACAGTATTGGTTCCAAAACACTGCCTTGAGGAACACCGACCGTAGTTGGACACTCCTCTGAGATAAATTTCTTTGCTTTAACTGTAAACATTCTGTTAGTAAGATATAATGAGAGAGATCTGATGGAAATTTTTAAGGCAAGGTCAATTTAAGTATTTCATGCCATACTTTATCGAAAGCTTGATCCATATCAAGAAATATTGCTGAGCAATAATCTTTTAACTCAAATGACATCCTTATTTCATTGGTAATGCGTTGGAATTGTTCTATGGCACCATGTTTTTCGTGAAAACCGAATAGATAATTTGTTATAGTTTCATATTCGTAGAAAAAAGTATATGTCTAGGACGCAAACACCACTAATTGGAGGAGGAGCTCGGTTCCTCAGCGGTTGCAAAGCCCTATTATATATTATATATGTATATGTATATAATATATATGTAAAGATAGCGCAGCCGTAATGGCTGAATTGTTAACATTCTGTACTGTCATTCTGAAGACCAGCGTTCGAGTCCTGTTCGTCCAACTTCCAAAAGTTATAGAGAATTATTTGAAATAAAAAATTAAGGTACATTTTCTATTTGCGGTCGCCCCTCGGCAGAGACTGTCAACATCTCCAAGTGTATTTATGACATGAAATGAAGGCTGCTCATAAAAAACAAACAAATTGAATATATACATATATATATTTATATATATCCCGTAAACAGTGTGCGTACTGAGAACCAGCCGCATCTTTCAACAATCCTTAGTAAAATTAAAACTCTTGATTAACTGAAAACTTAAAAGGCCATTGGATTTCAAACTAATGACATCCAAAGAATCTGTTGAAGCTACCGCAAAGACGATATGTCCGTTGCACATCATTAAAAATAAACTTTCAAGCGTTAAAATACTGGTTTTTTCTTTGATTAGCGCGAATGGCGGAGTCGCTCGCTCATTTAAGAAAAAAAAACCGCTGGTCGCATTAATATTCAAGTTCAATTGCCGAAAAATTGTCATGCCAACCGACCGAATGCGATGCACAATCAACATCTGCACGTGTTATGATTTATTCGCAAAATACTATTGGAAGCCAAACAAAAAAAAGCAAAAAAAAAAAACAAAAAAACATAATAAAATAAAAAAATAAAAAATGAATAAATAAAAATGTCTAATGCCAAACCTTCCCTGCAGGGAATTTCTACACCAACTGTTATTTTTATAATATTTTAACATGTCAACGCATCAGTTTCATACTAGTTAAATACTAGTTAATTTTGCAAGTTCTATATCAATATTGCAGAATTAAGGTTTAATAAAATAAACAATTGCCTAAAAATTAACCCAACATACTTGTGCTAACCCGGCGGAAATTTGTTTTTACAAGTTTACATATCTCGCTGCAGGCTTACTACAAATGGATTATGTATATATGAACAATATTTATTTGGCTTTTGCGCATGCGCTGGCGCTTATTGCCGTCGGCTATGATTTGGACAACGACGTCTATGGGGCTACCGTCGTCGTCATTAGCTTGGTCAAGGCTATTGCTGACATTGGTGAATTAGACTTAACAGCCCATCCATTCATTGAGAGGAATGAAACACGCACACACACGAAGGTGGACAAATTGTTTTGTTATGAAAACTGAAAACTCGTTTGGTTTGCTTGTTTTTTTTTCAACTTTACAATGAAATAAATGTTTCTGTACTTCTATTTTATTTTTGTATAAAGGTGGGTCGTTGAGCCTGCGGTTTTATTGACACCAACGCAATGAATCAAATTAAGCAAAATTTTTTTTTAGTTCTTAAAAATTCTGCATGGTCACACTTAAAAGTTCATTACACAAAATATAGTTGTAAACAAAATAACAACAAATAAGTGTAACGGACTTATAAAGAATATAACTTATTTATTGAATCATGGTGTGAAGTTGGTTTTACAGTTATGAGATGAATAAAAAATATTTAAAAAAAAAAATTACGAAAAAATCATACAATATTTTGTTCGGAATTTGTATGAATTGTGAAAAATCGGCGCAGAAAATCAAAATTATCAAACCATGGCCTCTGGCTATTTTCATGCTTTGATTTAGGGGTTACCATTTTCAGCATCTTTTTTTTTCAAACTATTTACTCTCTTAAGGCAAGGTTCCTCTAAAAAATTAAAAAAAAAAAATTTTTTTTCCTGTAAATTACTAGGAGTGCTCCAAGAGGTAAATTAAAAAAATGTTTCATTGTATTGGGTTCCCCCAAAAAGTTATTGCGGATTTTTCATATAGTCGGCGTTNATTGGATAAATTGAATACAGCCATCAACGAGAAGCGACCAGAATTGGTCAATCGTAAAGGTGTCATATTCCACCAGGACAATGCTAGACCGCACACATCTTTGGTCACTCGCCAAAAACTGAGTGAGCTTGGCTGGGAACTTTTGATGCATCCAGCATATAGCCCTGACCTTGCACCATCAGACTACCATTTATTTTGATCTTTGCAGAACTCCTTAAGTGGTAAAACTTTCGACAATGATGAGGCTATAAAATCGCACTTGGTTCAGTTTTTTGCAGATAAAGGTCAGAAGTTCTATGAGCGTGGAATTCTAAATTTGCCAGGAAGATGGCAAAAGGTTATCGAACTCAATGGCAATTATATATTTGATTAAAGTTCATTCTAAGTTTTATTAAAAATGCATTTACTTTCTTTTAAAAAGTCCGCAATTACTTTTTGGGCAACCCAATACAAACTATGGTCTTTGGAATTATGTGCGGTTTTATTTTTAACTAATTTTCATGAAAGTGGCTCACTTTTCTTTTACAAAGATTGATTTATGACTAAAAAATATGCACTAAAACATTAAAAAAATACATTTAATCGAAAAACGGCTACGTACTTCAAAGAAAAAAAATGTATTTGTAGAGCTACCATCAAAATCTCAGATAAATCGATGCAATAGGGCCCGAATAACCTGTCCGCCCGGTTTGACAAATGTGATTTTGAGAAAAACGTGTTTGTAGTTTTCATTGTATTCAGCGCACGCTCTGAGGGGCTGCAGAAAAATAAAAAGTTTAGCTATTTGAAATATTTATTTCACTTTAAAGCCAATTGCATATCATTTCTAGAACCTAAAGGTACCCTGTGAGCAAAAAATAAAAATTGGGTTTTCCAAAACCCTTGGGCTTTACCGCTTAATGTAAAAGTGATCTGTTTGCACTTATTTTCAAACGCTTGCGTCACATCCAGAAAACCCGTCCAGCAATACTCTCTCAATTCGAAAGCTTTTCTTTCTTCATTACTTATACTATTTACTTGTTCACTGGTGCCATGTTTTTCCCGAAAGCCAAAGTGATATGTTGAATTATATAATTTTCATGGAGAAAAGAAGACATTTTTGATGGCAGCACTTTTTGGAAAAGTTTGGATAAGCAAGGGTCTGATTGGACTATATTATAAGGGTATAGTTGCGTCTTTACCTGGTTTAACTATCATAGATTTTGGAAAATATATTAGTATATACGAGTATGTCATTTTAAATACTAAAAACCTTTGTAAGAAAAACGATTCCAATGTCAAGCAGTTCTTTTAGTATTTTTGGTGTGATCGACTGATCATCGATTTTTTGTTGATCTATGACGGCAATCGCTCCGCAAGTGACATTTTGGAAGCGATTTCTTAATGGAAAAAAGTGGAAATTATATTTTAGACAGTTTTTTATTTGCACAACATTTTTTTTAACTGTTGCGATTGAAAGGAACATTCCTTCGTTGAATTTCTCGTGAAATGTAACTCGAAGACTTGTGTGAAATTTCACCAAGATCGGCTGAGTAAATAGTTTTTGAAAAGTTTTCGATAAGCGACTTTGAAAACACAGTTTCGAGAGAAACGCTTTTAATGTTTAAAGCACTGACTGTGTACCTTCCCAAGGCTGTATCTCAGAACGACTTGAAAATTAGAAAGATATTTTTATTTTTTTTTTTAACTTTTTTTTTTAACTTTTTTTTTTAACTTTTTACATCTTAATTTTTTACTTCATTTAATATTATTTAATCTTATTTAATTTTTAAATTTAATTTAATTTAATTAATTTTACTTTTTTAAATTAATTTGAATTTAATTTAATTTAGTTTGTGTTACTCACTGCATTATATAATTTTCATAAATATTATTTTCGATTTTTTTTTAAATAATACTTACCGATAAATTCATTGCGTATTCGTATACGTTCTTGTAAATTCGATGCTGATATAATCACGCAATTGATGAATGCCAATAAGGCAACTTGGTATTCAACATTGGACGCTTTTTCCAGTTCGTTTATAACGATTTTGAAACGATAACGTTCATTTTTGAGATTCTGTGAATGGAAAATGCGAATAAAATTAGTGGTGAGATTTTCCTAATAATTCTTTATAATGAATTAAAAAACTATGATTAGATTTTATTTTTAATTTTTGTAAATCCGCGAAATATTGAAATTAAAAATAAAGTGTATATTTCGATTTTGAATTCAATTAAAAATACATAACTACCAATTTTTATGCTTAGAAGTTAAAAAAAAACCATCTACTACTTCTTCAGGTGGACAATCCTTCCATATTAAATATTCTATGGGCTATAATGAGACTTCTTGGTTTAATATTTCTTATAATATTATTCGAGTTGTTTTTGTACACGACTGTTATCTGTGCGCAGAGTATATTAGCTATATTCAACTAAAGGTTGCATGCAACTGTATAAATCAATCGATGTACTTTATTGTATCAAACTTCAAACAATGCCGAGGCGAATCGATCTCGTCTACGTTCCACAGACACGGTAATTCAAGTATTTTTTATGAAACTTGGTTCATACACTCCTTGGACCACAAGTACGCACCATGTCTGTCATACCCATTTAACGGTAATTTTGAAAAATATGCAACTCGCGAAAATTCGGTATTTAAATTTGCAATTAAAATTATATTTGGTAGGGAAAAATTTTCAAATGGGCAACCACCATTGGTATCGAAAAGTATATCTCAGAAACTACTGGATAAGAACATAACTAGATGCATACACTTCTCATTGTAGTATGAACACGATTTGAATATGGGTGTGTCAGAACAACAAGGAATAGTTCCTTTGTTACATATAACAAACTATTTACTTTACAACTACCGCTGGCCTACCAAATGGCTAAATTAGGTTCAGAAATGAACCGGAATGAAATGAATTCTCAACAGACAGGTCCTTCTGAACTTAGTTCTACAATGTTGTTCAACTTCTACTTCAGCGTGCTGAGCAAAATGATCTTTTCACTGGAGCATCTGCATCCGTGCAAATGACGATCCCAGCGCAGAAAGGTGTACTATCTCTGTTCGCTTCAATCTGTTCATGTCATTATAGACTTCTTGCAAATTTATAGACCGTAATTTTAGTTCCTCGAGTTGGGGCTCTGCTTTTCATTTGCCTATTGACTCCAAAGTAGCAACTGTTGGCAAGAGTTATTATTTGTTTGACCTCGAAGCTGACGCTATTATTGGTGTTGATGTTGGATTCTAAATAGTCAAAGCCTTTTCCGATGACGATCCCAGAGCAGATAGGTGTACTATCGCTGTTCGCTTCAATCTGTTCATGTCATTATAGACTTCTTGCAAATTTATAGACCGTAATTTTAGTTCGTCGAGTGGGTGCTCTACTTTTCATTTGCCTATTGACTCGAAGTTGTTGCTGTCAACAGTAGCATGAGGTACTTTGCTGTATCCTCTCATTCACTGCAAGACCAACCTCTTTGGCCTCTATAATCTTCAAAAAGCCGCGATAATACCGTTGATATTGCGGCAACAAATTATTAAACAAAAGAGCGAGGTCAGTATGTATGTCATCCTTAGGAAAAAACACCATCGAAAAATATTGAGTACTTTACGCTTATAGCTTCCAGCGGCTCAGTGAAACGGCTGTGGGTAGTGAATTCTACTTGAACTTATCGGAGGGGGAGTAAAAGTAGTAACATATGCCGACGATCTCGTGTTGATGACATCAAGACACACATGGGCCGCGAACAATTGACTATTTGCTATATCAGATTGTAATTATGGAGCTTTGGCTTGGTGGCATTGCAAAAACAGCATCGTAACTTCAATGCATATAGTGCCGCAGCGATTCATTTTCTAACCCTCATTTGGATTTGTACGGATTGGCGGACTTCTACCCAATTTGGTCGGAGGTAAGGGTTGTGCTCAACGTCATCATGCACGACCGTATGAGTTATGTGTGGATTTGTTTATCCAAGGTCTTTTCTAAATCTGATTGATGGTGGGTTTATCAGGTTAGAAGCCTGAATTGGACCCTACCTCTCATATAATAGACTTTTTAATTTTTTTTATATATTTAACTTAAATAAAATATCAGCCGAGTATTAAATGTTCGATTCCATCCGACTTAGCCTTTCTAAATGGTCCAGTTCTTTACTTAATTATAATATGATGATATGATATGATAAATATTCGGAAAGGAACTGCCTTTCAATGACTCGGATCTAATTAAAAAAATTCGTTTTTAAAAAATTGTCATAAGAATAGGCCAACAACAATGTTATAATGACAAATTAATTTTCATAAATAAATTGTTTCCCTTATAATTTTTTAAAGATAATTCTTTTCCATTAAATATTTTTTTGAAAAGTTACAAATTTTAAGTTATGCTTTTTTTGAAGAAATAGAGTAACATATATGCGCATATATGTAATTTTATGTTGTAACATTTAGTTTGTTCAACTTAACCTATATTATGCCGCAAATTCTATTTATTTCCTATAAATTGTTGTTGTAGGCATTTTATCGTGATAAAGATCTTATCAATTGTTAACTGATAATTTATGTCACTAAAATATATAACTATGTAATGTACATTTATACGCTAGCACATCTAGGTTGTTTGTACGATGCCTCAAGTGTAATGAACTAATTAAAAATAATTTCGAAATCAATTATAAAATTTTTTTCTTATAGTTTTTGAAAGTCAATATTCAGAAAAAGTATAGGAATTCTCTAACTATTTGTAAAGTTTTATATAAATTTCAATCATATTAATTTTAAATTTTTTTTCTTATAGTTTTTCAAAATGAATATTCAGAAAAATTATAGAAATTTCCTAAACATTTTTAAGATTTTATAAATTTCAATCATATTAATTATAAAAAATAAATACAAAAATGAATTGGCATTTTTCGGATTAGTACCATTTTTAGTACTGAACTAGTCCTTTTTTGATCGATTATATAAATCACTACAGGTATATTTTCTTTATTGACAATACTTTATCGCTCATACTATTTATTTACTATATGTATCTATGCGCTTACCTTATAAAATTCTAGCGTTTCAATAGCGCGTGCGTAGCCATCGGCATTGTAGGCACACAACGCGGATAATAATTCGAAAACTTGCTTCTTGACGACGGCATTACTGGTGTCTAGTGCAGTGCCCAATTTCGAAATATATTCACGATTCTCAACAATATAATCCAGACCGATGCGCGTGTCCATTTTGATTTCGTTGGGCGGCTGTAATGTACGCCCCTCTATTTCTTATTATTGTTGTTGTTGTACGTTTAGTTAATTTCTTAAATGGGTCGGACAAATTTTTGTATTTTTTTTACTTTTTGCTTGCGACGTAATTTTCGTTTTGAGGTTTGAGGTTTGACGTTTGAAGTTTGTGTGTGTGTTTTGTAACATTTAACGGTACCTGAGTAATTTCATTCCAAATATCACCACTAATATTCTACACATGTACATGTGTATGTTGTATATATGTATGTGTGTTAACAATGCAATTGCAGTGGTTTTGATTTGGAATTCTTGAGGTTGCTGCAGCTAATATATAATACTTTTTCAGTTTGTTTGTATGTAAATTGTGCTTTTGCGTGTTCGCATTTGTCGTGTACGAGTATGTGCATTCATTTCATTGTAATTCGGTGCATTATGTACGTGTTGACCGCGCGCATCTGGAAGGAGAAAAGGGAAACGAAGAAAAAATGAGGAAAAGCGTGAAATTAATTTATGTGACTAGTTGGGTCATTACACCAATAACAATTTAATATTGTAGCTAGCATTTATGTGTCTATGTTTGTGAGTATTGAGTAACATACATACGCACATAATAGCTGAATGTAATATAGTATGCAATTTATTGTTTAAACTTATCAGTGCTAAGTTGACATGGCACTTTTTTATTAATTAATTTATTGTATTTTTTATTTAAACCTCTGAGAGCGGTGTTTTTTCTTGCTGCTTGGTATGACGTTCACATCTACACTGCATACATACATATGAGTATGTAATTACTTGTATTTTGAAATGTCTTGCTATCATGAAATACATAAATTAATTCCGGTTTACTTGAACCATTTCTGTATTTATTCATATTTTAGCCGGCTACCAGTTTGTTATCAAGATTATTGAGGCTTGCGATTAGGAGACACCATGCAGGAAATAACCCACAAAATTTGAATATACAATAATAGTGGTTAAAAGTCCCCCGCGTTATAGGGCTTCAAGAATGGTCTCATCTTCTTAGTATAAACTGTTCTATCTAATCAACAGTGTCAATAAAGCTTTTATTATGATTATTATAAAACTCTTGGCTGGTAATCTTAACTTAATCTACCCTTTTTTTAGTGACCTGAAGGCTTATTTGTTGTAGGAGTTTAATCTTTTTGTTATACAACAAAGAAAAATAGTAGAGGCGACAGCTGTTTCGGAGATCTCCTCATCAGACTTCTTTTAGCAGGAATCGAACCAACGTATCCTGACTTAACAGGCAAGTGCAATATAATTTAACTTAATTTTATTTCATTTAGTTTGTTTTTGTTTTTTTATATTGTATTCTTTTAATTTATTTTATTCAGTTTAGGTTTATTTTAATTTATGTTATTTTATTAATTTTGTTTGAATTTGATTTATTTATTTTAATTAAGTTTATTTTGTATTTTAAACTATTTTGCTTTATTTTAATTTTATTTAAATTATATTATTTTATTTTATTTGATTTGACTTTATTATTTATTATTCTTTATTTGTTATTTGTTATTTATTATTCATTATTTATTATTTATTATTTATTATTTATTATTTATTATTTATTATTTATTATTTATTATTTATTATTTATTATTTATTATTTATTATTTATTATTCATTATTTATTATTTATTTTTTATTATTTAGTATTTATTATTTATTATTTATTATTTATTATTTTTTATTTAGTATGTATTATATATTATTTATTATTTTATTATTTTATTTCTTTTCATGATGTTATATTTTTTATATTAAATTATTTTATTTTACTTTATTTATTTTTTATTTTATTTATTTATTATTTTATTTTGTTTTATTTAATTTCATTTAATTTAATTAATTTTTATGTTATTTTATATAATGTTTTTGTTTGTTTTTTTAGTTTTGGCTTTTTAATTTAATTCTATTTCAATTCCGTTTTATTTAAATTCATTTAATTTTATTTAACTTTTTATTTTTATTTTGCGTTTTATATTATTTGTTATATATTATCGATTTTTATTTCACTGTACTCAGTTTTATGAATTTACTTTCATTTATCTAATATTATTTATATATTATTTTACTTCAATTTACTTAATCTAATTCGTATTTTTAATTCTACTTATTATATATTTAATTTAATTTTATTTGATTTTTTTGCTTGATTTTAATTTTTTATTTACTTTTTTTTTGTTTTGCTTAAATTTTTTTAGTTTAATTCTTTATTGCAGTCTAATTCAAAGTTTTTTTTTAAATATTATTTCATTTTATAATAAATTCAGTTGATTCAGTTTAATTAATTTAATTAAGGTTCATTAGATTAAATTTAATTTAATTTGACATTATTTCCTTTCAATTAATTTTTATTTGTTATATTTTATTTTATTACTACATATTATGTATAATTTGGGAAAATTGTCAATCTATCCAAAAATTACAGTTTGAGAAAAAAGCTTTCAATAAATGCTGTCACTTCTCTTAAGCGAATTTGTTAATTTGCTAACCTTCAATAATTATCAGTTAACACATTATAAACTGCTTTGACAAGTTGCTGCGTATGTATGTATGTTTACTACCAGCCTAATAAAAAAATTCAGAATATTGAAAATCAATTAATTTACATAAATGGCAAACATTTTTTGTAAAAACCGTAAACAATTTGCCAAAATCAATTTTAAAAGCTTTAACTGCAAACTTTTTTATTAGCTTAATTTTTTCGAGCGCCATATTTTTGTATAAACACCTGAAGCAATTCAATTTTTAAAATTTTATTTTTATTTAATAAACGAATAAATATTTTTGAGAAATATTTACATACATACATATGCATGTGCTTCTGTTTTCACTTTTTATGAATTCGACTGTTTCTATAATGAAGATGTTGTCTTTTAAGTTGATACGCATATAAATATTTAGAAACCAATTTATTTCTTTTCTTTTCGAATGCGACATTTTCGCTTTTTACACTGCTTTTTACAATTTTAAAACTAGTTTTATATTTAAGTTATTTTATTGATTTATAAAACAACCGACTAAACGAATACAATTATATGTAAACACGTACGTGTTTAGTCAAAGTGTATCAAAGTCAATCCTTTAAAGTTGAATATAAATGTCTTGGCGCCAGCTCAAACTCATAAGTTAATTGATACGCAGAAAAACAAGTTTTGTTCACTATTATTTATAAATTAATTTATAATTTATATGCATGTGTGCACTTATTATAAAGTCACGATCGAGAATTACTTATATTATTTTAATATTTATAAGCCTTAACATATTCAATTCGTTTAAAGAAGTTGTTAAGATAACGACATATGTGGAAAAGTGGAAGAATATTTATGAGAAGGACTTAAAGGTAATTTTATTTATACTTTTTTGTGTTAATGGCAAATAAGAAACCAGAAGGGACGCGGAGTACTTTCCATAAGTGGCGATACACGATTCGCGCGTTTTATTAGTATACTCTACTTAATCAAGTTGCCTTCTTAGTAATATTTTTTAAAATCATTTAAGTTTAAACAATTGTTTTTTTTTTTGATATAGGCGCTTAGCAAATGCGCGTAATAATAAATTTAAAGCATCAATTTGTATATGGTTGGCAAAGGTTTAATGACTGGGCAAAATTTCTCGCGTTGCCAATTATTATTTCTACAAACCGATCATGATTTAAGGACATGTGTCAAATAAATTGGAATAAAAAACATATTTCAATTATTGTATTTATGGTTTATTGAACAAAGTAAACGTTGCAGTACCTTTTTTGTGCCAGTGAAATATTTTGCAAATATATACGTACACGTATGTAAGCGTGCAAATAAATTAATTAACATTTGACAAAATTTTCGTGTGTAGTTTTGACACTTACAACTGCATTGTGTGACAACTTTAGCGAGCTTATCGTTGCCGATTTTTATCTATATTTGAGGCGTTGTTGTTGGTGTGTATGTGTATACATATGTTTGTTATGAATTATATAAACAAAGGAAATTTTCAATTATTTATGGAAACAATACCGATGTTGTTATATTGAAGCTTAAGTATTAACACTTGTTATACATTTTTATTATTTAAAGCTCAGTCAGTAACAATACCGCTAAATGTGTATATAAACAATTAATTTATTTTTAGAATCCATGTAATGAATATTAATGATTTTTTGTTTATAGGTTCAAAGTTTTTGTATTTGTTTTATTATATTTGGCTTGTGAAGTCTGAAAACTAAATATGGAAATCCAATGATATGATTATTTTTTCACCTTTTCTTTATGACCTGCATTTATTGACTTAGTTTTGGGCGTGCTTCCTTCAGTTTAAATTAACTGAGTGACATGATAAACGCATCAGCGAGAAAAAAGTAAAGCGGTATTTTAAAATACTGTAATATTCAGTTGAATAAAAATAGAAATAATGGAAATTTTAATTATAATTATTGTACAATTTCTTTTTATGAGTTATATTAAATTGTAAGTATTAACTTTGGTAGTAGGCAATATATTTCACCTTCATAATGTAATCGATAATTCTGCTAATCACATCGCAATGTCATCAATGTTTCGATATTTTCTGAAAAGCAAGCGGAAGCAGCACATTAGGCTGAGGAATTTTACTTCTTTTTACACAAATTGTAGTATAAAATTTATTATTAATGCAGATGTGTTCCTTAAACCAGATCGAAATTTCAGCCTGCACTGAAGCTATTGGCTTAACCAATATTATTATTATTGTCTTTGCCATTAATCTTCACAACGTATTGAAAGGCATCTCTGAACAATAATAATAACAACAATTATGACATTTCAGCAAAAGGCAAATGCAATGTAAATATATAAAACGTGTTTGATTGCTTAGAAAATTCTCGAAATAAGAGCATTCTGCACTTTTTTTTAATGTAGATACGCACGCATGTACAAATATTTAAGTATATTTATTTATTTATTTATTTATATAACCAAATAATTTATGTTTGTATGCGCTGCATATTTGTTTGCGCCATGTGGGCTGCTTCTAAACTTATTAGCAATTGAATGCTAATTTGTTATGTAGGAAGCAAAATAAAGTAAATACATAACAACGCCACTACAAATGGAAGTGCATAATTTAATATTATTTGTCGGTTAAATAATTTTATTTTACACATTTGATTTACAACCCTCAAGATGACGAGTAGCACAGGCAGCATGTATTCTACGGCAGCACAATTGCCAAAACAGTGTATAGAATGTATAAATACCTTATATAAATAAATATATTTGTCTATGTATGCACAAAAATAGCAATTAAAGCGCTGCAGTATGTACGTATGTGTAGTGGCAGTGGGAAGCATCACATAAAAGTTTGTTGCTTAAATCATTTGTTTTATTATTTATTGGTTACATCAGCATTAGAACACCTCTGCAATTTAAAAATTTTGAAAAATTCTCTAGTGTTTGTAAATATA